CAGTCTGTCATTAGCTCACTTAGCTGTGCTGCTTTTGCCCCAGGGCCTTCCTGCCTGCGATTGCCAGTTGGGACCTTTCCACTAATGCTGTGCAGAGGCTTTCACTGAGGCTGCTGTAAGAACCTGGAGTTCCCGCCTGGGCTACGTAGTTGTTTCACCGGAGCTGTACTCTGCCCCACTTTACTCTCATGGGATCTCTGGGAGCCCCTTGCCTCGTCTGGGACATGGCCAGAGTCCGTAGGCCTGGTGGTGGCTTGTAATCTGCTGCCTTGTGGGGCATTCTGCTCTAGGGAGCTTCCTGGTGTTCTGAATGCTGTACGGGGCCGCCCTGTCTATGGCGAACAGAGGCCCTCCCTGCTGGGGGGGTGTGGGACCCTGGAGCAAACCCCTGGGGCGCCGAGCCAGCTGTTGGAGCTTCACCCAGTCCCCAGGCGCATCCATGGGAAGTCCGGGCACCCCCTGTACTGACCCGTGCGCAGGAGACCATGAGCCCAGCAGCATCTTGTGGCCTGGAGCCGCCTCGGGGGATCCGCCCACCGGGAGCTTTCCTTTTTCTTGGATTCTGGGCATAGCCTCCCTGTCCATGGCGAGCAGAGGCTTTCCCTGCCGGGGAGATGCGGAACCCCAGAGCCTTCCCCACACCGCAGAGCCAGTTGCTGGAGCTCAAAACGTGTCCCCAAGCACTTCTACGGGAAGTCAGGGTGCCCCCTGTACCGAGCCGTGCGCCAGAGACCGTGAGCTCAGTGGCAGTTTGCGGTCTGGTGCTGTGCCGGGCCCGCCAGAGGCTTCTCTTTGTTCTGGCTTCTGGGTGGGGCCTCCCTGCTAATGCTATGGTGGAGTCTGTTGGAAGAGAGCCTCCTGCAGGAACTAGGCTGTCCAGGGGTCGGGGGTTGGGGGTCGGAGAGTTTTCACCTATTTCCACCTCCTCCCGGCGGGAAAGTCTGTCCGCATTCCGATGTGTAGTAGCACGAGACTTTTAGGCGTCTTGAGATGCTATCTGGATATCCTTTGTTAACCGGTGAATGTCCAATTAGTTGTAGATTCGACGGGGGAGAGAAAAGAAGGCCTCTCACTCTGCCATCTTGGTCCTGCCCCCTGTTAGTGTTTCTTTATATAAAAACAACTAGGCGCGAATGCCTATTTGTGTCCCCCAAGTTTGTTCTTGTAATGAATGGGAGGGTTTGCTACTGATGATGTTTGATGACTGAACACTTAAGCCTCGCCCTCTGTTTTCCCCTGGGCCTTCTTACCTGGACATGTTGATGAGAAAGCCTGGAGGCTCCTGCACTGTGGGCTGCTGCTTGCTGGGCAGCCCCTCCTGGGTGCGGGGCTGCCCTGTGTTGCACTGTTGACCCCACCAAGCCTGGGTTGTAACTGCGGAGAACTCCAAGTTGTCAGTTTTGGAAATTCCTGTCCTCTGAGAGCAGGAGTCTGGGAATCAGGCCCTCCTTAATGTGGTCTTCTGTCAGTGTCTTGGGTGAGACCTGTGTGTGTGTTGAGAGTGAAGGTGAGAGTGAGGCTGGAGTTGCCTTGACATTAGGGGGAGTGTGCAGTTATGAGGATGATTGTACCCTGATACTGAGCTGAGCCCATCCGATGGTCACTCCTTCAAGAGCAATTCTTTCAGAGAGAAAGAAGGGCCAGGAAAGTGCAGCCAGTGGGAAGCAAGATTCCAGGGGGCTCCCCTGGGCCCCTAAGTCACTCTGCTGCACTTAGGGGCAGAGATTGCAACAAAGACCCTGACTCTCTGGGTTATAGTGGACAACACCCCTGTCTGACTTTGTCAGAGCAAAGGGATTGGTTCAAAGCAACTTAAGCCCAGGCACTTGAACTCTATAAAGCAACCAGTTGTCTTGCCCCTTTGTGGGAAAAGAACTCTGGAAATCTCTTGACTCAGAGATCCCCAAAATAGAAGTCAGAGTCACACTTGTATGTACACTAATAGGTCTACAATAGCAGGACACTCGTCAACCACCTTGGGGTTCTGCCACTCCTGATAGTGACCATGGCTCTTCTCAGAGGATCCAGTGCTGTGCTCCCCAACAAGGCATTCGATGGAAGTTTCCCCTCCCCTGTGGATCTCAGGCTCCTAGAGCACCAGACTGGCTTCCTGAGATCAGTTGAAGTCATGGCACAACTAGAAGGACCTACGACTAGAATATACAACCATGTATTGGGGGCTTTTGGGAGAAGAAGAAAAACAGATTGGCAACAGATGTTAGCTCAGGGCCCATCTTGAAAAAAGAATAACTTGAAGTCAGTTGAATGGGAGATGTCATGTTTCAGTAAAAAAGGGGTGAATTGTAATGAATCTGTCTTTATCATTTTTTTAAAAGAGCAACGGTTTTAAGTTTACAGAAAAATTGATTAGAATTGACAGTTTCCACATAACCCTTCTCTCGGCATCCGCACCGTTTGCACTTTTTCACATCGGGTATCACTGTGGTACGTTTCTTAGAATTTCCAAGCCCATATGGACGCATTACAGTTCACAGTGCACATTAGCACTGACTCTGTGCGTTACACACTGTGTGGGTTTTGGCAAATGTGTAATGACGTGTCCCCATCATTTCTGTGTCGTAGAGTGTAGTATCGCTTCCCTGAAACTCCCCTGTTCTCCACCCATGGACTCATCCCTCCCTCCAGCCCCCCAAATCCTTCACACGTAGAGATCTTTGTAGTGCCTCATACTTTTGTCTTCTTGAGAATGTGATACACTTGGAATCATACACTACATAGCCTTGTTACATTGGCTTCTTTACTTAATAATAGACTTTTAAGGTCCTTTCATGTGTTTTCATGGCTTGATTGGTACCTCACTTCTTTTTATCATTGGACGGTGTTTCATTGTTTGGATGCACCACTGATTGACTGTTCGATACTTGAAGGACATGTTGTTGGAAATTCTAACTCTTGCCAATTATGAGTAAAGTGCTTCTAAACATCCTTATGGGGCCAGTCCAGTGGCGCAGCAGGTAAGTTCGCACGGTCCGGGGTTCGCTTGTTCAGATCCTGGGTGCAGACGTGGCACTGCTTGGCAAGCCATGCTGTGGCAGGTGTCCCAAATATAAAGTAGAGGAAGATGGGCATGGATGTTAGCTCAGGGCCAGGCTTCCCCAGCAAAAAGAGGAGGATTGGAATTTTTTAACTCACAGCTCTTCCTGGAAACAAACAAACAAACCAACAAAACACATTCTTATGTAGGTTTTGTGCTAACATAAGGTTTCAACTCATTTGGCAAAATACCACGGAGCGTGATTGCTGGCTGTTACTCTATGTAGTGACAGTGTATTTTATTCTGAAAGGAGGTTCCTGTCTTCCAGTGTGGGTGTTCCAAATCCCGTTTCCACCCGCGATGAGCTAGGATTCCCTGTGGCTTTGGATCTTCACCGATATTTGCTGTTTGGAATATTTTGAATTTTACCCTTTTAATAAGTGTTTTGTGATCCCCATTGTTTTCGCAGTTTCCTAATGACATTTCGTGTGGAACATGTTTCATATTGCTTATTTCCCATCTAGATCTCTTCTTCAGTGAGCTGTCTGCAGATCTTTTGCCCATTTCTTAATTGCTTGTTTTTCCTCTGTTACGGTTTAAGACTTCTTTGCATATTTCAGATACCCGTCATTTATCCAACAGTATTTTACACAGATTTTCTCTTACTCTGAATTGTGTTGATCTTCTCTTTACACCATCTTTCTCAGAGTAGGAGTTTTTCCTTTTAATTAAGTAAAATTTCTCGTTTTCTTTTGTGGACCTTGCCTTTTGGTTTTCTATGTGAAAATTCATCAGCAAAGACAATGTCATCCAGATTTTCTTCTGTGTCCTCTTGTAGGAGTTTATTCCTTTGGCATTTTACATTCAGATGTGTGGTGTGTTTTGACTTTGTTCTCATGAAAAGTGTGAGGCCTGTGACTACATTTGTTTTGTGTGTCTGTATTTGCACGGGCATATCCATTATTTCTACCACTGTTTGTTTAAAATACGTTCTTTTTCATTGGAATCTCCTTTCCTTCTTTGTCAAGGCTCCGTTGACTCTATTCATGTGGGTCTAGAAGGAAAGCAGTTAACTCCCACATCCTGCAAACTTGCTATGCTCTCATTAATGCCAGGAGTCATTTCTGTCATTGTGAATTCTTCCAGTTGTTGCATGGAAACAATCATTATCATATGCAACAAATGCCATGAATTTAGCTACAGGATTTGTGAAGATGTTCTTTCTCAAGAAGTGGAGGGGCTGACCTGGTGGCACAGCGGTTAAGTTTGCACGTTCTGCTTCTGCAGCCCGGGGTTCCCCATTTTGGATCCCGGGTGCAGACATGGCACTGCTTCGCGAGCCATCCCGTGGTAGGCATCCCACATACAAAGTGGAGGAAGATGGGCACAGATGTTAGCTCAGGGCAGTCTGCCTTAGCAAAAGAGCAGGATTCACAGCAAGTGTTAAATCAGGGCTAATCTTCCTCAAAAAAACAAAAAAAAGTTTCCCTCTATTACTAGTGTATCATAAATGGATGTTGCATTTTATCAAGTCTTATTTTATATTCCTTTCCCCTCCGATACTGGTGATTTCTGTCTTCCCTCTTCTCTTTGTTATGTTGACTAGATATTTATCAACTTTATTGGTCTTGTGAAACAGGCAGCTTATTTCTTTTCATTTTCTCCATTGATTTTGCACAATGATGTTCATTTCCTTCCTAATTTTTTTTTTTTTTTGAGGAAGATTAGCCCTGAGCTTACTACTGCCAATTCTCTTTTTGCTGAGGAAGACTGGCCCTGAGCTAACATCTGTGCCCATCTTCCTGTACTTTATGCGTGGGACGCCTACCACAGCATGGCACAGATGAGCATTGTGTACAGTAGAAAGCGAGTTTGTGATGATCATAACATAGAATAAATGGTTGGAGATAACAGAATCCCATGTTACTTTCGTAGAATTGGCGTATAGATACCCAGTGCTATCAGCCTTATGCATCCTGCCCTATACACATTTATGGTGTTTTAGGACTCATTGACCATTGAGGACGTGGCTGTGAACTTCACCCCAGAGGAGTGGGCTTTACTGGATCCTTCACAGAAGAAACTCTACAGAGATGTGATGTGGGAAACCTTCAGGCACCTGGCCTCAGTAGGTAAGAACGAGGACATTCCTTCACTGCATCAATGAGAGAACAAGTGCTGCTTGCCCATCAAGAGTGTTCTAAGGGCCTGGCCTGGTGGCGAGGTGGTTAAGTTCACACATTCCACTTCGGTGGCCTGGGGTTCGCCAGTTCAGATCCCAGGTGTGGAGATTCCACCGCTTGGCAAGTCATGCTGAGGTAGACGTCCCACTTACAAAGTAGAGGGAGATGGGCTCGGATGTTAGCTGAGGGCTAATCTTCCTCACAAAAGACAAAAAGAGTGTTGTGAGATGTAGAAGGTGGAAAGAGCAGGTTACTAAATACAGTAGACATGGCCATAGATTATCAAATACTTAGAATCTACAACTGTTTTCTATAATTTCTAATATTTGGAATAAACTTTCTGGGTCTGCGTTTCAGGAATAACGTGGGAAGATCATGATATTAAAGATCAGTGCAAAGACAATGGGACAAAACTACGGTGAGTGACACGGTAGAAATCTCTGTCTCATGTACGATTACTTGTACGTTAAGAAATTTTTTTTAAAACAGAGAAAACAAATAATGCTTGCTTCAAATTTAGATATTCTTAGAACATTTTCACCAAGTATACTTTCTGAAATGTGATGTAGAGGTTCACTTTTTGCACTTAGAAATAGTATTAGTGAACCCTGTCTATGAATATCACTGTTTGGATAATAACAAGGGTGAAGTCCACTTGCAGAAAATTCAGTATATTTCATTTCAGAGAATTCAGAGAAGGAAGAAAACATGAACATTCCCTATAAATCATAATAAACGTAAAATCCTTAATATAGAAATGACTAACAATGTGCTTCTCGTTTGTACAGAAAGCATATGGTAGGGAGACTCTGTCAAAGTGAAGGGGGTGGTCAGTGTGGAGAAAACTTCAGCCTTCTTCCAAATCTCAGACGGAACAAGCAAACTACAGGAGCTAAACCATGGGGATGCAGCTCATGTGGAAGAGTCTTCACACATCATTCATTGCTGAAAATGCACATTAGACATCACACTGAACATAAAACATATGACTATCAAAAATATGAAGAGAAGCCATATAAATGTAAGGAATGTGGGAAAGACTTCACTTATCTCACTTTACTTCAAACACATGAAATAACTCACGCTGGAGAGAGACCCTATGAATGTAAAAAATGTGGTGAAGCGTTTACTTCTTACAGTTCTCTTCGAATACATGGAAGAATTCATACTGGAGAGAAACGCTTTGAATGTAAGAAATGCAGTAAAGCATTTACTTCCTCCAGTTGTCTTCAAATACATGTAAGAACTCACGGTGGAGAGAAGCCCTTTAAATGTAACATATGTGGTAAAGCCTTCATTTCTACCATTTGTCTCTCAACACATGGAAGAACTCACACTGGAGGGAAACCCTACAATTGTAAAAAAGGCGGTAAATCATTCAGTTTTTCCAGTTCTCTTCAAACACATGGAAGAAGTCATACTGAAGAGAAACCCTACACATGTAAAAAATGCGATAAAGCATTCACTTCTTCAAGTTCTCTTCGAATACATGAAAGAACTCACACTGGAGAGAAGCCGTTTAAATGTAAAATATGTGGTAAAGCCTTCATTTCTACCTTTTGTCTCTCATCACATGGAAGAACTCACACTGGAGGGAAAGCTTACAAATGTAAAAAATGTGGTAAAGCCTTTACTTCTTCCAGTTATCTTCGAGTACATGGAAGAATTCATACTGGAGAGAAACCCTATGAATGTAAGAAATGCAATAAAGCATTCACTTCTTCCACCTATCTTCGAATACATGAACGAATTCACACTGGAGAAAAGCCATTTAAATGTAAAATATGTGGTAAAGACTTCATTTCTACCAATTGTCTCTCAACACATGAAAGAACTCACACTGGAGGGAAACCCTACGAATGTGAAAAATGTGGTAAATCATTCTCTTCTTCCCGTTCTCTTCGACTCCATGAAAGAACTCACACTGGAGAGAAACCCTTTCAATGTGAAATATGTGGTAAAGCGTTCAGTTATACCAGTTATCTTTCAAGACATAAAAGAACTCACACAGGAGCAAAACCCTACAAATGTGAAAAATGCAGTAAAGCATTCACTTCTTCCAGGTATCTTCAAATACATGGAAGAATTCATACTGGAGAGAAACCCTATGAATGTAAAAGGTGCAGTAAAGCGTTCACTTTTTCCGGTTGTCTTCGAATACATGAACGAACTCACACTGGCGAAAAGCCCTTTAAATGTAAAATATGTGGTAAAGCCTTCATTTCTACCAATTGTCTCTCAACACATGAAAGAACTCACACTGGAGGGAAACACTATAAATGTGAAAAATGCGGTAAAGCATTCACTTCTTCCAGTTATCTTCAAATTCATGGAAGATTTCATACTGGAGAGAAACCCTACGAATGTAAAACATGCAATATAGCATTCACTTCTTCCATTTATCTTCAAAGACATGAAAGAACTCACACCGGAGAGAAACCCTTTCAATGTGAAATATGTGGTAAAGCGTTCAGTTATACCAGTTATCTTTCGAAACATAAAAGAACTCATACTGCAGAGAAACCCTATGAATGTAAAAGATGCGGTAAAGCATTCACTTCTTCCAGTTATCTTCCAATACATGAAAGAACTCACACTGGAGAGAAACCATTTGAATGTAAACAGTGCAGTAAAGCATTCACTTTTTCCAAATCTCTTCGAGTCCATGAAAGAACTCACACTGCAGAGAAACGCTCTGAAAGTAAAATATGCAATAAAGTCTTCACTGCTTCCAGTTCTCTTCAGGTCCATGAAAGAAGTCACAGTGGAGAGAAAGCCTCATGAATGTCAGGAAAGTGAGACAGGCTTTACTTCTCATGCAACCTTTTGAGGATATGCACAAATGCACACGAGAGGATAATCCATGTAGACATAAACAAGTTGGGAAAGACTTTTGTCATCCCAGTTCTTCCTGAAGGCATGAAAGGACTCACTTGATAAAAACGTCTTGAATGTAAACAGCATGAGAAAGACTTCAATTGGCCTACATCCTTCTATGTGAAACTCCCACCAAAAAGAAATGTAAATGTAAGTCATGTGAGAAAGCTTCATGGAAATTAATTTGTATATGAGGTTGTGGAAAACTTTCAACATGAAAGAGTTGTTGTAAAATAAATAGATTGTATCTATCAAGCCTTTCTTAAAGTGCCACTTTGGACTGTGCATTTCTATTAATTTACTTCAGAAATGAATATTGAGGGGCTGGTCCCGTGGCCGAGTGGTTAAGTTCGCGTGCTCTGCTGCAGGCGGCCCATTGTTCCATTGGTTCGAATCCTGGGCACGGATATGGCACTGCTCATCAAACCACGCTGAGGCAGCCTCCCCCATGCCACAACAGGGCGGCCCACAAGCAAGAATATACAACTATCTACCGGGGGGTCTGGGGACAAAAAGGAAAATGTAAAATCTTTGAAAAAAATATATTAAAAAAAGAAATGAATATTGAGGTGAGATGAGTCTGCTAGTCATCCTTCATAAATAGTAAATAAGATTCATAGGTAGTGCTTTTCCCTTAAATCAGTTAATAATATTTTATCTTTAGTTTTTTTTAACAATGTTTTAATTGTTCTATGTTAGAGGGCTACGGAAAAGTGGCACTTTGTATTTGTTGTGATTTTCTTACTGGCCTTGTATTAGAGTTCCTGCATGTGCCTAATTCATTGTACACATTGTCCATGTTTTAGAGAAAGCTCCTTTTTGGGGATGGTGGGTGGAGGAGCCTGTTTTTATTTTCTGTACTATTAAACAGTTCGAAAAAAATTTGTGTGGCCAGTTTATCCAAGAGTGTACTTCCTGTGAATTCTGTGCTAGTGAGCACATTTTCCTGCTTCACATGGCATCTCCAATGGGACATAAAAAGAACAACCTGTGAGTTTGTTTCTCTGCTTCCTGTGCAGCGGCTGCCTTCACCCAGCTCTTCCGTGTGAGAAGAATCACCTTTCTCACATGGAGAAGACTCTGTGTTTCCTGTTACTTGTAGGTTGAATGCATTCTGTTGATGTGTTCTCACTAACCTTTGAGTGTACGTCAATAAGACTGACCATCAGTTTGGGAAATGAGCACTTCTCTAGTTGTTTCATTGATGTATTTTATCGACTGATCCAGTCCATTCTATGTTAATAAATATTAGTGTGGATTTCATTTTTACAGAGTATTAATATCCATTTTTGATCATGGATTTTCAGATATATTTTGTAATGTCCTTCATTTCATCATTATCCATTTTGAGTCAGTTTTATCATGTGCAGACCAATTCAGGGATTTCTTCCCCAGGCAAACTATTTCTTATTATTTGACAGTTACAGTTATTGTCATGAAAATAATTCCTCATTAATTTTTAAGCCAAAAGTTAACAATCAGGTTTTTTTTCAGTGCCCTCTTCCGGTGACCTGCAGGATTGCGCCTGCAGTCAGAGAGGCGTGTCAGGAATTCTAGTAAGAATGACCACAGACCGAAAGCACCTTGAGGTGTAGCGGTAACGGTGCTCAAAGGACTTCTCACAAGATTCTGGCCTCTGTTTGTGTGTTGGACTGCTATTCAAGGAGGCAGATTATTTTCTGTCTTCAGTGATGTGAGGAGGTAAACTTAATTCTATCTTTTGTAAACCTTTTGTTTTGTGAACCGAATCATTGTTTTCTCGAAGGCGAAAACAATAGAGTGAAGGAAAGTTAATGTTTAAGAAGTTGCAGTCCGTCATTTTAGTAAGAACAAGGACAAGAGTCATTTTTAGGATTTGGGCTTTTATCCTTTATCATTTTTACCTCTATGGTCACAAAATACTCTTAGTTTTGTCTTGGAAACTGTGTACTTTTAATGACCAAGCTATCAGACCCTTTTCTCTTCAGCAGGGTAAGACTGGCCTTCCAGTGGATGCAGCCAGCTCCTGGTCCTCTGGAACAGCTTTGCCTTTCCTACTTACAGTCAAAACACCGATGTATTTCCTATGGTGTATTGCACACTCTTTACTATGAAGTACCTCATTTAAATAGATAAATTCTCTTCTTGGTATCCTACATAACATTTTCAATATGTCCTTTAGACTCAGCTGAGGCCTTTTAGTTTAGGGATATTGTGAGACAGTGCAAACCCAGCCAGGGAAATAGGACCACTGTGCCACTCTGAAGCCTTTCCTTCTCCGAGACTGTGTTCTTGCTGGTACCGTTTCAGCATCCCCCACAAGCCATGCAGTGTGGAGCCCAGGTAGCTGATCACAGGTTTCCTTTCCATATGCTTAGATGTACGGCACATGATGTGGAAACTTGGGGAGAAGGAGTAACAGCTTCGAGGTTTAAAACAGCAAGGGGAACAGAATGTTTTCCCTTTTTTTAGTGTAAACTTATGAATTGGAGGGGTTTCATTCCAATGGACACCACAGAATTGTTCTTTTGAGGTAATGGGTTGTTTTTCATCTTTTGGTGGCAGTATTCCTATACATTTGTGAAAACTCATGAGACCACCTGAAGTATTTTATGTATCTTTAGATATGTATTATGTATGATTACTAGAAAATGAATAGTACAATTGCTTTCACGTGATAGAAGAGTGTGAAGGTCTCCTGAACCTGCATTTTAATCTGTTCAGATCTTTCCACCACTGTGGGGTCCTTCTCAGGAAGGTTGCAGGACTGACAACAAGGACTCAGTCCTCAACAGGCCTGTTTTGCAACCCTGTCATCATTATGAAAACACCCCCTTGGGTTGCACCTGCCCTTAGCTCATGCACATAACAGGAGTGACGTGAAAGTGCTCCCAGACTCTGTCTTTGAGTGTAAATCAGGTTCATTGACAGGTCTTTGGAAATACCACGGTCTAAAACATGAAAGTGTATCCCAAGCAGAAGCTGCCTGGGACATCCTTATTCCCGTGCAGCATCATCAGATCTCACTGCCATCCATAGACCATCTCCAGCTCTTCATTTCCCCACTCAAGCCTACTCTGTGCCTGCTCACTTGGAAAAATCTTTAGAAATCCACACATGTCCCACTCTGTACATTTTCTCTGAGGCAACAGGAGGGGGCTGTGAGCTGAGAGGGTGACAGAAGCAGTGGTAGAAACCATGCCATGAGCACATTCTCTCAGCCACAGTGACACAGCCATCTCAAATTTATCATATGTGCTTGCTTGCTTATTCACACGATACTTAGAGATTGACTTATGTTGAATTGAGAAACAAAAGCTCTGGAATGTTTGAAATAACATTGCATTAGTGTCCCCCTCCCCACAGTCCTTCTCAAAGATGCCTTAGCAGCCTCTCACTGATCATCAAAGCATCTCTAAACCCCCATGGTGGACATAAATTACCCAAGGCATTCTTGTACCAGAAATATTCTCTTCACAGGGTGCTGCACACAATTAGAGAAACCACTGCTGGCAACTGACATAGTCTTTATGTAAATGGAGTCCCTTCCAGGGCCTCAGTGGAGGATGCTCCAAGCCAGCTTCCCCTTTGGCTTCGGTCCTGAATGCAGGACCCCCCAGGCTTTCTAGTCAAAAGCCTCCTTATCAAAGAGATGGGTATTTACAGCATGGAGCCAAACATTGCTGCTCTGGAATATCCCATGAGCAGTCAGGAATGTTCCGTTCTCTGATGTAATCAATTCTGAGGAGATCGTTCTCATTTTAGACATAGTGACCACTTTGAGAGTCACTGAGGAGCACATGGGTGACCAGGGTGTTCATAAACTTTATGGACAGTGTGCACCACCACACCGGACAGAGTCCACTGCAGAGATGCTGCCTTTTGTCGCTAAATCAGACAAGCCGTCCTTGATCAAAGAATGCACTGAAGCCTCAGAGTGATCAAACAGCAGTCATGTTAGCAGTACCCACTTTCTTGGCCCAGTATCCAACCCGTCTGTACATTTTTACAGATCCTGGGCCGTTACCCATGATCTAGCTGTTGGTCCCACCATTAGCACCATCCCCTTATCCAAGGTTTCCCTCTATGTCTTAGAGAATTCTGGGGATATCTTGCCTCGCAGATATCCAAATACAAATCTGGCCACTCCTTACTCTGCCCTTATGAAACCTCAGTCTGCAGAGGCTGATTTTTATTGCTGGGGGTGATGAATTGACTTAAATTTCTGAGACAAATATCAACGCCTCAGACCAGATGGCATTAACCTTTAACTTATGGTCCCACATAATGTGAAACCACTTACCGACCTCTAACTTTAGAGTCTAGGCAGAATTCAAGTGATTTCCCTTCTCTGCTGTGGTTAACCCAGTGATGGACCAGTGAAGCTGATGTGAAAAAGCAAGTCACTGGTAATATCATCAATGGGCATACCTTCCAGGATGAGGAAGGGATCAGTACAGCTGATGGCAAGTAGACCTGGTAGGCCAGTCCCCCCATCCCCGGGGCTCCTTGCTGTGCTCAGACCATGGTAGAACTTGATATGGACAAATCACTCATGCCATCGTACCTTAGCCTGCTGAAGCCAAAATGCAGGGACTTGCCAAGATGTTCCAGATTTATTGATATTATCAGCTCAATTCTGAAGAGGAAGTACTGGGCTCTCGAAAAAGTTGTTCAGTGGACATTTAACCTCTTGTGCCACCACAGGCTACCCCCTTCCTGGAATGGTCTAATGGCCTCCTCAGGCCAATTTGCTTTCTTCTCAATGGGCCTTCCTGCTGTTGGAGGCATTGATTAGACTCAGTCCCAGTCTTCGGGGCTCATTGCTTTGCTGTCATTGTCAGGCTCACTGGCACCTGATAGTTAGGGACCTTTCCCTGCTGGACATTCCTGACAGAATGGTCACTCCTACAGGTCTCTGGTTCATTGTAACAGTGCACCCTGTCCACCACTGTCGTATCCCACTGCCAAGTCTTCCCCTCACATCACCTGTGGACTGTGTGCCCTGCATGTCGATACTTCATTTGGGGCACCTCCTTCAAATCCCCTCTGGCTCATCACATACAGATGTGCTGTTTTCCTACCATTTGCACTCATGTGCTCATTGTCATGGGAGTCACTGGTAGTGACCTGGTAGCACATGAAGTCATTCATCAAACATCCTTCCTGCCAATCAAGAAATGTCCCAAACACTCAAAATTTGTGTAGGAGACAGCTAGTGTTTGAGATGTCTCCCTGAAGGAAAACCCCCTGGCAGCCGTGGTAGGTGCTGATTGGTTGGCTTTGAAGTATTTATTATGCATCCAGGCAGAGCTCTCTTCCTCTTAAGAGGGCTGCCTGTGGTTTGTGGGGAGGAATGTGGCAGGATTAACACAACAATGAGACAACAGATTAAACTAATATCACTTAAATATTTGAACAGGAACCCTTCTTACATGTTTCTAGATCCCTCCACACATTTGGATGACTCGATTCAAATGGTTTTTCGAGGCTTTGTCACCTCAAACATAGTATGTTTGCACTTTTCACATAGCTGTTAATATTCAAATCAAATTTATTTGAGTAGTGGCATCATGCAGTCAACCAGCCTCAGGATTGAACACTAATAAAGACACTGACCTCATTTTGGACATTTGACTCTCAATCAGCTGTATACGCCTGCTCACCCTGTTAGGATCACAATGGTAAACAACTTATGAAGGTTGACATGTGCCCCTTTGCCATTTGTGTCTGCAGATGGGAGGCTCAGACCTGTAAAGCCTGAAGCCTCTAAACCTACACTTGTTAAATGGCCAGCCTGTGATCCTTTGCACAAGCCACATGAACAAGCTTCCCTTCGCCCTACTATCTGTAGAAAGCATTTTGGAGTAATAAACTTTTTTTTTTTTTTTAAAGATTTTATT